CACCGCATCCTCTAATTATTTAATTAAAAATAATTCTAATTAAATCGGGGTGTTACACACAAGCTTCTGAAATGTACCATATTCTCAACAAACAACTCTTCTGTAGATGAATTTAATATATTCATCCATGTATCTATTATCTTCTCCACCACCACACTAGATTTGACAATGTCTCTATCTCCACCCTCGATTTCTTTATTGCCAACCGTGAGTTTTAGCTCAACTCTCACATTTTTTGTTATTTGATATCGACAAAGTAATGCGTATGAAGTAGGAAACACACTTTCAACAGTATTCATAAGAGCGTTATCTCGGTCAGTTACAATGGCACTAGACATTTTTTATGGATATTTCAATAAAGACTTACATATATCCAACGCCCGTGTTGCATTGTCTTCATTCTCATATTTCAGAAATACAAACCCAACCGAAAATGTCTTCTCTGTAGAAGTGATACCAACAATTTCTATAAGCAGAAGCATGTATTTGTTGGTCTTGTATGTTGAATCAATTATAAGGATGGTTGGAAATGTGTTGAACAACTTGATACTTTTTGGATGAGTCCAAAATATGTCATGAACACTGACTTTATCCTCACACACTTTGTACCTTGAAACATATTGGTTATAGTCCAAAAGTTTCAAAAGTTGTTGCATTTCGGATCTCAAACTTTTATTCACCATGTTCTGATGATAACATTCATTGTATACCTGCTTGATATTTAAAACACTTTGTGGCATTTTCTTTTTCAAATCAGAAAGTATGTTTCTCGATGCAACTTTGATGGACGATATTTCCAAAATAATTTCCTTCTCTTCCGGCTTAAGCCGACATACAATTGGATGAACTTGTAGCTTCGTGTCCAACGCATGATTATGTAAACCACACATGATATTAAACCTCCACAAATCACCAACCCTATAATATCCTCACAATTTAAACAGACACATACATTTTCTCGATCCGGTGTCTTCATGTTTTAAGTTTCAAATTTTTGGAACATATTTTCCATTTCTCTCGCATGTCATCGTTACAAATGCTTGCCTTCTACTAGTGCCATTGTCAGACCTTCCAATCACAACACCAAACCCGAGTTTGTTAGCTTTAATTCGGACCTATTCTAGCATATGTTGACGAGCACTAAAAACTTGATCATTTGTAAATTGTTGTCGAATACCTACAACAACAATAATCGTTTTAACATCGTGCTTCAACTCTTCCGGCTTAGTATCCTCATTCACCTTGTCTATATCATTTACAACAACTTTGGAAACATGTCGGGATGCACCATATCTAAAACGGTCGAAAACATAAAATTTGTTCAACACATAATTATGTTTTTCTATAACAGACATAGTTTCAGATATGCATATCTGAAATATGTTAGGTGCATTTCGGATATGTATATCCGAAGTAACGCTGTTTTTTTCCAACAGAAGTCAGAATCAATACAAGGAAATGAGAGGTAAAATAAAAAATATTTACCTTAAATTGTAGCTTTCTGTGCTATATTTGATATGACGAAACACTTGAAACTTGGTTTGGAGATGAAAAATGATTGAGAATTATTGAAGTTTTGAAATAGGTTTCGGTTATGGAGGAAAATGAAATGAATGAAATAGTGGTAGGGGTGATCATGAAGCAAATTTATGTAACAAAAGTATTTTGGACATGCATATCCGAAAATACCATTGAATGTTTAAATAATTATAACGTGTAAGCAAGGGGTTTTCAGATATGCATATCTGAAAACCCCATAAAAATTGATTTAAACGTTCGTTCGAATATGCATATCTAAAAAGTATTTTGAAGTTTTCAGAAGTCTTTTTTACCGATATAAGGGTGTACAAAGAAATTCCTTAAAATTTATAATATTTATAAGAGAAAATGAGATAAATATCGACAATCTAAAATTATTTTACACTTTCAATCATTCACTATCATGAATCTCACCGTATTGGATTTAGTTATTAGTATGATATATGAGTAATTAACTATGTAATACTATTTTATACTTTTAGTGCATCATTATTAAATTCTATTTAAAAATTGAAACTAATTTTCAAGTTTTGTTATTTAACATTGTTATTTGAACTTTAAAGTGTGTTAATTATAAATATTATTTTGTTAGTATGATTTTTTTCAAAAAAAAAAAAATACAAAAGATTTTTTATTAAGTTTTATAATTATCTAACCGTCACTCAATTCGTAAAAGAGATTAAACATATGTTTTATGTTTTACTTTTGATGCAGGTTTTCAATTCATTAGCAACGGTTTTTCTTTTTACTAATTGCGGTTAATTAGGACAGTTGGGACATATAAACAAAAATTAGCAATTTGTTATTAATGGTCTAAAAGTTTGATGGGAACGGGGCAACAAACACATGAATAGGTTAAAGGCACCAACAACTACGTTGTTATTCTGGAAAACGGTCTCTTGTAATAAGTTGTAACGCGAGTGTTCACAAGTTTCCGTGTGTGAGTAACACCGAATGTTTCCCTTTTCAAATTCGTAGCGCGCTAAAAAAAAAAGTGTCAACGTGTCACTTTGTTTATCCAGTTTATAATTTTAACGGATTCCGAATCCCCTTCTTTTCTTTCTCTTTTACTTTTTTCTTTTAATAGTAATAATAAATAAATAAATCATTAATATAATAATAATAATAATAATAATAATGTACGTAATGGTTAAAATAATTCCACGAATACAAATGGTAATTATTACTGTATTTGTTGAGTAAAGTAACTGTACCTTGTTTGGCTCCTCCATTAAATAGGGTTGATTGTTTTTATCATTCAATTCAAATCAAATTATGATTTTTTAGAGCCTGAAACGTTTTCTTTATAATCATTTAATTAATTTTCAGATCTTGAAAAAGTAAATAGTAGTACAAGATTTCATGTGACTTTTTTTCCTATAAATGCAATGCAAATTAAAGGGAAAAATTATGAGCTAGTCTTTCCATATATGTTTTGAGATACTAATAATTATTAATATTTTGGTTGGATTGAAATCATTTTTTTATTTTTTTTATTTTTTAAATAGACATGTTAAAATTTTTATTGTCTTCTATTTTTTCATAATTTTCTATCTCTTTTTATTATAAAATAATTTTACAATAAAAAAATGGGAGTAAAAAAAAATAGAGAAGTAGAAGAATAAAATAGAAAAAGGAGATACAAATTCAAATAAAGAACTAAAATGCATTAAGGTCAAATATAAAATCTAACATACTCATATATTTAATAATTCTTTGTACAAAATAAATATTATATTATTTAAATATTTATGAATATATGTTTTAGTAATAAATATTAAAAAATAAAATGAGGTGGAAAGGTATTGTAAATCATATACTAAAAGTAAAATTACAGAAAAATGATTGGAAAGCCAAAACCCAAAAAAATAAAAATAAAAATATATACACAATAAAATAATATTTATAGATATTTTATATTTTAAATAATTATTAAACTACAATAATATTGGTGATATGAAGATATTAAGAATTGAAACTCTAAATTTTTTAAATATATATATATATATATATATATATATATATATATATATATATATATATATATATATATATATATATATATATATATATATATATATATATATATATATATATTTGTCAATTCAATAAAAATTTAGAGAAAATGATGTGATAAAAATATCAGAAATAATTTTATAAATGTTTATAAATTTAATTTATATAATAAATATTTAAAATTTATATAATAGTCTAAGTTTGAATCTTAATCGTGATTCTCCTTATTCTAACATATTAATTTATTTTAATAGTGTTATTAGTTTTTAGACTAATATAATTTAACAAGTTAAATCAATTTTATTTGATTTTATAAAAAAAATTATAAAACAAATCTAAATGTCTTAAATTTAACATGTAATATAATAAATTGTAAATTACAAAATAAAATATTTAATTTTAATTTTAAATCAAATATACCATTTACTCACATAATATTGTTTTTAACGAAAATTCCACATTTTTAAAATCCGTAAAATAAATATATAAAAACTGAAAATATAATTAAACAAATGTTACATTACCGTATTAAAAGAAATTAATATCTAAAATATAGTTGATTTGATCGAGTCGGAAATGTGCTTTGTTGAGATAAAAAAAAAAATTTTAAAATGAATATTCAATCAATTTTTTTTATATGATTGAAGTATATGATTTGGGTCAAGTATACTCTTGACATAAATTAATCAGTGTTAAATCATTGTTAAATGAATCTAGATATTCTATAATCTACGGTATTACTATGATTAATTAAAAGTAAAACGGAAAGAGAAAAAAAAACGTAGAACGAGAAAGTCAAGATTCAGTAATGACTAAAGAGGTGTAGAGACAGAGTATCTTCATTCTTTAACTCTAATACGTTATTTTTAGGTGGGATAATATTACGGTACTACGTACTCTCCTAATAAATATTTCATTTACTTTTTTTATTTATTTTTTAAAATAAATATTTTTTTAAAATATCAATATAATATTTATTATTATTTTTTACTATTATATATTTATTTATTAATTTTTACCTTTTTAAACTACTTTATTAATAATAATAAATAAAAGTATTTTAACAAATAACATTAATTTTTATTATTAAAATCAATTCATTTAATTATTTTTTAAAAAATAAAAAAAAACTGAAAAAATGAGGCAATTATTATGAAAAGAGAGAATAAAAAATAAAAAGAAAAAAGTTACTGGTAGAGAAAAAGAGGGAAGGAAAAAAAAAGAAAGTAAAAACTAGAGCGACAGCTGTGAAAGGGCGTGGTAGGGTATTAATTGTCCCCACGAAAATAATAAAATAAAAACCTTTCTTTCTCCCGCTCTCACCCTTCTTGAATTCTTCTTCCTTTTCTTTTCATCCTCACCACACTCTTCTAGAGTTTTTCTTAGTGATAGAGAGAGAAAGTTTGTTAGTACTCATGTGGTGATGCTTTCTCTCTCGGCGAGATATGGATACACCAGAGAGAAACCAAATCAGCACCGCTCTCTCTAAATTCGAGGTTCGCTATTCCGCCACCACTTCGCTGCGCCGTTGCATGTCTTTCATCATACGCTTTTTTTTTTTCCATTTCGGTTTTTCATTTTTTCCGATTTCAAGGTTTTTCACGTCGTTTTGATCCTTTTGAGTAAATCGCTTCTTCGTATCAAACTTTTTGAATCAATGTTGAAGTATTTCACTGTTTTAGATCTCATTTCTTATCAATTTTGTTTTCTACTTGTTTAATTTACTTTCACTGTTCATATTTTTTCTTTCTTTCTGATTTTTTTGTTGATTTTTTGTTGTTGTAGTTACAGTCAAATTGAGTCCATTTTTGCTTAATTATCAACCTAATTTTGTGGATTTGAGTTAATCAAAGTTTGTTATGGTTTAAGGTCATTGTTAGTTGATTTTGCTCTTGAGTAGGTTATTATTATTATTATCATCAAGTTTTTCTCTCTGTAATCATGCATGCATATGTTTAGTCTTTAGTGTTTAATCAACAGTTATATTATTTGATTTGTTTTGTTAACAATTTTTTATTTATTTATAAAATTATTCTTACATTCTCTGAAATGATTATTACACTCTGAGATGATTGTTACACTTCATTCACGTGTAAATCCTAATTTAATTGTGATTTTACCCTTTGTTATTTATGCAGGATTCACCGGTGTTCAACTATATTAATAATTTATCTCCTATAAGGCCGGTGAAATCTGCTCATATTACTCAAACTTTCAATTCACTTAGCTTTTCATCTCCTCCATCTGTTTTCACATCACCTCATGTTACCTCTTTCAAGGAGTCTAGATTCCTACGCAGGTAAGTTGTTTGAAATCGTCTTTTGTTTATTGTGGTTTTAGTAATTCTTAGTTGGGTTTATACTTGATTGATCCGTTTATGATAGTTACCAATTACTCATATCTAGACATAATCCACCGAGCCCATTGAAGCCCAAGGATTCATCTGAAGATGTAAATAAAGTGTACTCAAATGACGAGGCTTCGGCAGATTCTACTCTTTCACATCATAACTCAAGCGAGTTACATGAAAGCGCCGATAAAGGAATATTGGTAGGAGATGTTTCTATTGCGTTATCCATCGAACAAACGAAATTCTCTGATGAGCTACCACAGTCATTACAATATAATTGTGGTAGTCCTGGCTATGATCCTCCACTTTGTTGTGATGACGGTAACTCTATTTTGGAATTGCCCAGTGAGGCTGCGTCTGATGTTGGGTTTGTTCAGGAAGGTTGTAAAACAGATTCGGCAGAGCCTGAATTGCATCTTCAAGGAACAAGTCAGATTGATCCAAAGGGTGAAGGCTCAGACTGTGATTGGGATGGTTTACTTCACAATGGTGCTGATTTGTTAATTGAAGAAGAAGCTTTTAAGGGTCTAATGCAGAAACCATTGGGATCTTCTTTAAGACTTTGTGATTATGTGCCCCTTCAGCAATCTGCCTGTAATAATGATCAGAACGTACACATGGTTGATTCAGTTGCTTCTGCTTCTGAACATGAAATTGAAAATCATTGTTCTGAGCTAGTTGTCGCGGTGAACACAGACCATACACAGGACAGTCTTGCTAATGGTTCTTTCTTGACTAGCAATCCAAATGAGAAAATGGACAATCAGGTAGGAATGCAAGTTCAGTTACTGTCGTGTCTAGGTGAATTATGTCTACTAAAATTGTTCTTAAATGTCTATTATATTTTTTCTTACAAGTGGATGCATGTTTCCGTGAGTTTATTCCTAAGGCATAGTTTTCTAGGCCATGCTACGAGGATGGGTGCTCTTAGGAAATATGGATGCAAAACGTTTTCTTAAAGAAATACACTCAACCTATTAATTTAAATATGCATCTTATTTTGCCCTTTTATGTGTATAACATACCTTTTTGTTTTGGTTTTTATTAAGATCCTTCTAGCAAAATACGTTACCACTATTATGTCTTGTCTATCAGTACTTTATTGTTGTTTGTATTGTATTCCCTAAGTTATACTAGAGTTAGGAAGCTTGTTGTGTGGCATTTTGTATTTTTTTGTAGGTTTATAAATTTTGTTGCTGCTTGATTTATTAATAAATGTATTTTTCAAACCAGTTACTGTAGAATCACTTTTGTATTTCAGCTTGTTTCTGTCACACACCGTGGTATTCGGAGGCGCTGTCTTGACTTTGAGATGGCCGGTGTACGAAAGAACTCCGATGATAATTCTAACACTGGATCTAGTACAGCGCAATCTGAAGTAAGGAATGCTTCCGACGATAAACAACTGCTCCCTGCAAAACGCAATGCAAATTCACAAAAGGGCATTTTGCCGGGTATCGGTTTACACTTGAATGCACTTGCTCCCTTAAAGGATGGCACAGGAATACAAAACAGAAATTTAACTTCTGGAAGACAACTCAGTCTCACCAACTCTACTTCCTTGCTACTTTCTGCATGCCAAGAAAATCAGCATCTATCGATTGTATCTGTATCAGTTTCTTCTGAAAGAGAATTGGACCTATCTGGCAATGATGTTCAGCCTGCTGAAGATTCTTCCCTTGTACCAGCTTACACGGCTGATGAAGATTTCAATCCGAATAGCCCCAAAAAGAAAAAGTAAATGAAGTTGTTGGTTATTATGCTTTCTGCTTGAAAATTTCATCTCGCTGACTTTTAATCATTAGACTTATACTAAGCTCTGATGTGTAGGCGTAAGTCAGAGCCAGTTGGAGATACTTCTGAGGGCTGCAAACGCTGTAATTGCAAGAAATCTAAGTGCCTGAAACTGTAAGTTGAAATGAATACTTGTTTTTCTTCTATTGAATTCAAATGGTTTTTGCCAAGCATGTCAGTGTCCATTATCAATGTTTTATTGGTCAATTTCCCTTCTGTTTGATGCAGTAATGTTTACCATACTGGCTCTGAAATTAACCATTGTTATTTTTATCAGTTATTGTGAGTGTTTTGCTGCTGGTGTCTACTGCATAGAACCCTGCTCTTGTCAGGATTGCTTCAACAAACCTGTTCATGAAGATACAGTTCTTCAAACTCGAAAGCAAATTGAATCTCGCAACCCTCTTGCATTTGCTCCTAAAGTCATTCGAAGTGCTGACTCTGTGCCTGAAATTGGGGTTAGAAGATAAATTGAATTTAGTCTTTTGCTTTATGATTCTAAGCAAATTTTATAGTGTATTGAGAATTACTGTCTTGCAGATTGACCCAAACAAAACTCCAGCTTCAGCCCGCCACAAAAGAGGGTGCAACTGCAAGAAATCAAGCTGCCTAAAGAAATATTGTGAATGCTATCAGGTTTTGATCCTTATTATATCATGTACAACTCCAGTATCAGTTATGTATGAATTTAAAATAGAAATGGTTTTCTTTTGAAGGGTGGTGTTGGTTGCTCCATTGGCTGCAGATGTGAAGGGTGCAAGAACGCATTTGGTAGAAAGGATGGTAAGCTTTCCCTTACATTGCACACTAAGGCAGCAAGGGTTTCCAATTAGTACCAATTGGCTTTCAATTCGACTTACCCGTCTTACCATTCCTTTTATCAAATTTTGTTCAGGTTCTACTTCTATAGTGACAGAAGGCGAGACAGAAGAAGAAACAGAGACTAGTGACAAGGGTGTGGAGGAAAAAGCTATTCAGAAAACTGAATTTCAGAATATCGAAGATCATTTGGAATCTACCATGGTTGCAACACCATTACGGATTTCCAGGTTTGATACCCCCCCAGCCTTTTGTTTTTGTCCGTTAAATTGATGTCCCCATCATTGATTTATCTTAGTTCATTATTTCATTGGAACAGGCCAATGCTTCCTATGCCCTTTTCATCAAAGGGAAAGCCACCAAGATCTTTTGTTACAACCATCACCGGTTCTGGATATTTTACCAGCCAAAAGCTTGCGAAACCAAATCCTCTTTGGTCTCAACCCAAGTCTTTTCAGACTGTTGCAGACGATGAAATGCCAGAAATTCTTCGTGGTGATAGTTCTCCTATTGCGTGCATCAAAACTTCATCTCCAAATGGGAAGAGAGTTTCCTCTCCTAACTGTGAAATAAGATCATCTCCAACTCGCAGAGGTGGCAGAAAATTGATATTGCAATCTATTCCTTCATTTCCTTCTCTCACCCCTCGTCCTTAGAAGAATGGTTACATTTTTAAATGTATGTCAACCATCACCCGATCCCTGTCTTAAGTTATATTTTTAGCTTTTTGCAGCAAAAGTCATGCTTAGATTTTATGTATATTGAGTTTGTTTTACTATGGTAATAATATGTTGTGTTTCTTCCATAAAGTAGTACTCCTTTGGTAATAATGTGTGTAATTTCTTCTATAAATTACCTATGTTGAATCATGTTGAAACTTCAACAACAAACGAGGTTGTATAGAGTTAATTCGAGTTGAAACTTCAACAAGAAATGAGTTTGTATAGAGTTGAATCATGTTGAAACTTCAACAACAAATGAGTTTGTATAGGGTTCTAATCTAAAGTTAAAAGTTGTGAAGTACGATGCCTACAACCTTGTTCAAAGTTGTCAAGCACACAATGCCTACAACCTTGGGAGGAATCATGAAACAAATGACTAAAAACGGGTGTTGACTTTGTTTGGAAGTTCGAAGGGGAAGGGGGATTGGAAAAAAGGGAGAGTAGAGAAATAAGAATTGAAAATTTTCAATGGAGTATTTTGAAGAGATTAATATTAAATGTATAACTAACTTCCTTGTATTTAATTAGTTAGTTATTTTTATGTTTAAGTTAATTTTCAAGATATTTAGGAAATGCATTTTCGAAAACATCCACGTTTACACGTTATTATTATTATTTGAATGTTGTATTTAAACATTTAGTGGTACTTTCGAATATGTATTTCTGAAAGTCACCTTAAAGACGTGTGAAGAGGTGTTTCAAATATGCATATCCGAAACACAGAATATAATGATTTTAAAAAAAACATCAATGTCGGTACGTAATAAGCACAAAGATTTGATATGTAATTCGGTTAAAACGTTAATAAACAAGCAAATGAAAAATGATACGAACATAACAATGAATTATTTAGAAATACAAAAATAATACATAAATTGTTCAGAAAGTACGAAATGTAAAATAATTATATCAATAAATAAAAAAGGCATAGCCTATTGCGTATGTCTAATCCTAACCCTTTGGTCCTCTTCTGCCTCTTGTATTCCGTCGCACTTGATGTCTCCTTAACCATCTTCTACGATGGCAACCATCTCAGGACCATCCTTCTCAATGATCCCTAAGTCTAAAGCCTTCTATCCAATCAACTGTATCCACTGACAAATCGATTAACCATCAGAGGTATGATCATCCTGGGCTTGCTGGTTCTCCAAGATTTTCTCATGAGCTGGCCTAGGTGGACGTCCAGGAACATCCAATGTCATGATATGGTGTGTCATTATGTAGAATCATATCACATATTCCTCTACACAATTCTAACTGTTGGTTGCCCCCATCATTCGATATTCCTCTGACACCATATAATTCTCCCAATTCTGGAAGATACCATCGAGCTCCCAGCGAACAATGGTGTCGGGAGCATCTTGAAAGGGAGATCTGGATATGGTCTACACATAGCTAAATTGTCAGATGCACCGTTATCTGACTACAATATTAGTCCCATATGTCAACCACTCTGAGTATAATGAGATGGAATCGAAGGGGACAATCTCTCTATGATCATCAAATGACGTCCAAATAATGTCATCATGAACAGTTCGATCAAGATACACCGGAACAACGACACATAATGATTTCTTTTGTGGAGGATATACATGGAAACTATTGGCATTCCTTACTATACTGCAGATCAAAATTGAAACCATGAATGCAATGGAAGTGAGAAATGATTCATCCCTGGAAAATGAACAAGAGCTATGTAAGAATAAGTTATTAATAACAAATTAAATTTAATAATTGAAATGAAAGGTACCGTGAGCAGTGTGCAAGAGCCTGTCAGCTGTCTCGTCCTCTAATTAGAAGTTTCATTCAGTTTTTGGTATAAGTATACCAAACAACCAGCCCTCCAGTTCCACTCTCTAATTGTATTCAAATCCGTGAAGTGTTGAAGATGTCACATCCACGTAGGTTAGACTTTTGTCCACAAAAATGGACGTGCCAATCAAGGACATGAAGTAACACCGTAAAACACACTCACAGTGGTACTGAATAAAGAACAAATTACCCTCAAGAGCACTATTCATCTGCCTTTTCTGGATGAGCTCCTAGATCTAAGAATGGTTAAGTAACCTCCCTCTGATAGGAAGGTGTAGTAGGCATGCGACATCGTCAAGTGTGATTGTCATCTCCCCAATAGGAAAATGAAAAGATGACGTCTTCTTGTGTCATCTCTCGGCAGATTCTCCTTGCATGCCGTGGCTAATAGTAATGTAATCAGAACAACAAAGTCCGGAATCAAGAATGACCTCCTTGAAGTAGAGAAACTCGTAAAGGGATAAGGTGGATGAACAAGCATAACATGAGAGATTCATCAAGCATGGAAACGAAAAGGCGAATCAAAGAAATAATCTTGCTAATAATGAGAGGTCAAACAAGAATTCAAAGAATCAATTTAATTCAATTAAGAAAGGCATGAACCATAAAATCAAAATATATCGAGACTTATTCTAAATGCCATGAAAATTTGCAGATACTTTATATATGTCATACTCAATCATATTCTAATGTTTTCCTTGTTTCCGTTTTATAGAAATAAAAAATCATATTTAATTCATCTCAAGTAAAAACAAATAATTAAATTTTTGCGAGAGAGATCTTTATAATGTGATAAAATTTCTTGCAAAAATAATGAAAAAAAACAAATTCTTGATCATAACAATGATGTGTTTGAATTAGTTAGGGATTAAGTACAAATAACTACGACTTCTAAGTTTTTGTATGATGTTCATGTTAGCAACATAATATTCGTCGCTATAAATTAAACTTATATAAATAATACAAATTGGGGACGAAAATCCACATGACATCAAAGTCAGCATCTTTGCCACGCTACATTGCCACATATCAGTGCCATGTCAGCTCTATTAACAGACGTTAGTAGGAGAAACCAAAAGTGTGGATGAAAAATTTTAGAGGAACTATTTTTTGAAAGAAAATTTTAGAAGGACTAAAATTGAAAATCGCTATATTTATGAGGACCAATAACATATTTAACTCTAAAAAGAATAAGGTTTTTATTTTTTTCCACCTTTATAGGTTAAAAGGAGCTCCTAAAAAATTTAAAATTTATTCAAATTATAGAATTTCTAGCGTTTTTTTAAGTGTTTGAATTCTAAAATCTGAAATAAATAAAACCAGAAGAAAAGAAGTGTGGATCGTAATATCGTTATTTTTAATATGGATTTTTGTCTATAAATATGTATACTTGTTGTTTCATTCTCCTTGTTAATCCATATTTTGTGAGTTCATACATACCTTAATCTTTTGCATTAGTAGGTGTTAATTTGCTTGTTAGTTGTTATTTTATTGCATTTTAGTTGTTTCAATAGTAATTAGTTTGGAGCATAATATGTGCTCCCTTTTATGTTTTAATGTGTTTTTGTGTAAATAAATATTAGCATTGTCGAGCCGAGGCAACACTGCAGTGATTTGCCGCAAGGAACACAAGCTGAGAAAAGAAGAATGAACTTAGAGAAAAGGGAAAATCAATGATGCAATCAACTGACTTCAAGGAACAACATAGAGGAAAGAAGGAATTAGAGGAAAACTTTTATAAGTTGAAAAATAAAGAAAAATCACTCAAATTCAAAGGATAAGATTAAAGGCGCTAGAAGATAAAAGATAGTACAAAGGTGCACTACGTATTCTACACAACGCCACCCGCGTCTATTGCTGTAGTCTGTCACATTGCACCTTATCCCCTACAAATGTCTCCTTATACCCAATTTCTTATTAGCTAAGTAGAAAGAATGAAATGATGGCGTTAATTTCTACATGGGGTTGATGTCATTTCCTTGTAATAGGCCCATGATTCAATGTATAACCAAACTCTAGCCTAAGTCTATAAATAGGACCTTGATGCGATTGAGAAAGGAGTTCAACATTTCTAAGAGAAAATACAAAAGATACTAAGTGTGAGGATAATGGAGAGTAGAAATATTTTTCTTCTTCTCACCCAATCATGTACATGTTGTTGAGCTCTAGTGCCACTGGAGTTATCTCTTGAAGATTATCCATCTCAAGAAGTTCTCAAGTCTCTCTGAGGTTCATATCTTTTTTCATTATTTGTTTAAGAATGTTCCTTCTGAGAACCATGCTTGTAGTTTGTACCCAGTTCATTATGAGCTAAACCTTTTGTAGTTAAGCAATGTGAAGTTAATATTAAGTTGTTTTTATGTTATATGATGTGTGGTAAATTGACTTGTTTTATTATATGTTAACCTGTTATAAGTCTGTTTCTTTGAATGATCAACTTAGGAATAGATAACAAATTGTTGTTATGAGAGATCCAACAACAAGTGATTTTCTTAATAAGAATGGTTGAACGAGTAGGATAGAGATATCCACTCACCTAGTTTGCTTAGAGATAAGGAACTGCGACTATTGAGGATTTCAGAATACAAATAGGCATATGTTCGGGTTATAAGCGAAGCTTAGAGATTTATTTCCTTGCCCTTTATATGCATATTTTGATGTTGTAGAAATACACCACAAGATCACTCTGACCTCACTTTTTACAACACTGCACACCATCATACATATTTACTTCTATAATACTAATGGATCATGGCTCAACTCATTTACTCTTGATATATTTCTACTATTTCTCTCAATCTATTTTAGATTTGTTTTAAGTGAAACACAGAACACAACACACTACACATTATTTCTTTCTCTGCTCATGCTTAAAACTCAAATATAGTCGATTGTAAAATAAATCTAAGTAACTATATCTTTCCCTGTGGGTTTGACACTCTTATCTTTATTATTTGCTGCAATCAAACGTACATGACTTGCATGTGACACCCATTTTAACAATTAATAAGTTTTTGGTGCTGTTGTCGGGGAGTGTTTTTTTTTACATTTCTGATTTTGTATTATTCACTATTATTTGTTTGTTTTTAAGCATTTGAGCCTTTAACATTTGATGTAATCTG